GATATGGGAGTTGTAGTCCATCAGCAAGATGGGTAAACTGCTAAGGGTCTGACTATTTCCACCCATCTAATACCAATATAGTCTTTAGAACTGGCTATTTTTACTAAGAACGTTCAAAACAAAACAAAAAAATGTGTAGCACTACAAATATGAGAAAAGCTAACTTTGTGTGATTTCTTTACTTGCATAATAAAGTTTGTTTCAAATAATCTCTCTTTTGTTTTCAGTTTCTAAATGCTGTTGATTAATCTTTTGGTGGTTTTTTTTAATACTCGGTTTGTAAATTTAAGAAAAACCCTAAAACTAATTCAGGAGACCTTGGTTGCATAAATATTAACCCGCCTTACGACCTCTCTTAAAATGCTTTTTGTTTGATTCTTGATGAACGTATCTTTTCTTTTATGTACACTGAGAGCGTATGCACCAAGACAAATTCCTTGTGTGTCCAATTACACTTGGCCAATAAAAAATTCTATTCTATTCTATTCTATTCTATTCTATTCTATTCTATTCTATTCTATTCTATTCTATTCTATTCTATTCTATTCTTGTTTTAGGAAGACACATTGATTTCTGTTGAGCAACACTGCACTTATCTGATAGCTTTTGCATCAAAAAGAGTTAAGCTATTTGTGTTAGACTACATGTACTGGAAATACATAGCAGAAAACCCAGGCATGCCTGTGTGTGGTATGTCGTGTATATGTGTATTTCTGCATATCTTCATGCCTTGAGAATCTAGCATTCCAGTACAGTAGCTGAGTCCAGCAGCAAGCATTATCTAGCATTTGAAGAGGCTAAAATAGTAAGCACACAGTTTGTGTTCTGCATATGTGCACATGTGTTTATAAGGCGATATAAATATTAGGGCTGCTAGGGAGAACTTTGGATACAATCTCCAAAGGCTGTTGTATGCTGTCAATCTTGTCAGTATGCAAGTATTTGAAGGTATGTATAGCAGACAGGGGATATATTATGTTCTCTTGCACTTGGAAAATATTGCACAGCCTTAACTGAGAGGAGAGGTCCCAGTACAGAAATAAACAAGTGTGACTTTTCCTGGCTGGTCCTTTTATAACCATTTCATTCGCTGTACCACCCAGTCTCTTATAAATGAGAAATGCTCTAGATACACAACAATACAGAACAGTCGTTTGGCAACAGAGCTTATGCAGAGAACAGGAAAATCTCTTGTTTCTTGCGACCTCTGCAAATTAAAGATCTCAATTTGGAACCAGTTTGGTGAAATGGTTAAGGCATCAGACTAGAAACCAGGAGGTTTTGAGTTCTAATCCCGCCTTAGGCACAAAGCCAGTTGGATAATGTTGGGTCAGTCAGTCTTTCTCAGTCCTAGGAAGATGGTGACAAATTTTGATATCTTGCCAAGAAAACTACAGAGACTTTTCCAGGTAGCTGGCAAGAGTGGAAAAAACTGACTTGAAGACATTTAAAAAAAGGTTCTGAATTTGGCAGCTTCAGAGCCATTAGGGATTATGTTGTTGCACAGGCAGTCCTCGATTTATGACCACAATTGAGTCCAACATTTCTGCTCTTAAGTGAGACATTTGTTAAGTGAGTTTTGTCCCATTTACCCCCTTTCTTGCCACAGTTGTTAAGACGATCACTGCAGTGGATTAGTTAGTAACACAGTTGTTTAGTGAATCTGTCTTCCCCATTGACTTTGTCAGAAAAAAAAAATGATCACATGACATGGGACACTGCAACCATCATAAATATGAGCCAGTTGCCAAGTATCTGAATTTTGATCCCATGTCCATGGGGATGCTGCAAAGGTTGTAACTGAAAAATGCCCATAACTCATTTTTTTTCAGTGCCTTTGTAACTTTGAACACTCACTAAATGAACTGTTAATACAGGACTAACTGTATTAGAATTACAAAATTTGGATTCAGTTCCACCAACAGAGATGTGGGAATCCACAAGCAGAACTCAAGCTAGTACCAACAGCAACTGGGTTTAAATTTGGAGAAAAGTTCCATCAAATAATACTGTAGTATTAACAGCTAGAAATCCAACCCTTCTCTTCCCCATGACAAAATGTGTGTGTGTGTGTGTGTGTTTCAAGGATGCGGCTTTGCTCCCTTCAGTTTCATTCATTTATTTGCTCCTAAGGAACTCAAGGCATCATAAATACTTCCCTTGTCCTCCAGTGTTATCTACACACAACAGTCTTGTGGGATTGTTTGGGATGAGACTTAGTGACTGGTGCAAGGTCACCAGGGAATTTCCATGTTTGTATGAAGAGTTGCATCTGAGCTTCCTTATCCCCATCCTGCCCTCTTCTGATTTTTTGGTTTCCATTGCAAATTCCAGTTCCCCTCAAAAATCACAGAACTGCGTAAAAGAGGAAGGCCTATCAGCTTTCTTGATATGACTGTGATATGCTGTTTGGACACTAGACCAACCTCTCCCAGATGTCTTCCACAAATTCCCATCTAGCAGGTCCATTTATACTGTACAATATAGATTAGATGACCTTTGTTTTTCTTTTTTTCATATTTCCATAATAATTAGGGTTCGATGACTTATTGTTGACTCAAGACTCAAGTCTTTTGAATAAGCATTGGCTGCAATTCAAAAGCACTTTGGAGCGTCCCACAGTGAACATGCTTGTGGCATGTTCTGTACATGTGCTGAAGCAGACTCTGCACTGAGTTGAGATTTATTTTTGGTGGCTAGATGTTCATACCCAGACAGTTTTCCTGGCAACCTTGTGGCAGTGGTTTGCCTTAGCATTCTTCTAGAATAATTTTTTTAAAAAAATTCCTAACTGGAATTTCCTAGAACCATGATGGCGAACCTATGGCACGTGTGCCAGAGGTGGCACACAGCGCCCTCTCTTATGGCACATAAGCCGTCACCCCAGTTCAGCTCCACTGCGCATGCGTGCATGCCTCCTGCCAGCCAGCTGGTCTTTGGGTCTCTGCCACGCATGCATGGGGGGCAGAGCGCGTGTGGGGGGCATATGTGGGGGTGGGGTGCATGCGCGGGGCCTGCACACGCATTGCATTTTGGGGGTTTGGACACACACATGCTTTGGGTACTAGGTCCGGAAAAGGTTAGCCATCACTGTCCTAGAAGTTTCTCATCTTAAGTACTCACCATATCCAACTGTGTTTAGCTTTTTTGAGATCAACCAAGGTTAAGTAAGATGTTGCCACCTGAGTTGGGCATATAGCTGAGGATCACAACCAAAACTTTATTGTCAACCAAGATAACAGTAAGGGCCACTGAGTATGGATCAATGGGGCATATTCCCTCCTCATTAAATGACTATCATAATGGTTCCTGTAAGAGGTATTTGAATGATCACAGGTACTTAGATTATTATTTTGGTGCTTGTTAAGGCACGTGGATTAAATGTTTTAATAAATGTCATCAGGCTGCCATGTTGTCTTAACAACATTGTGCAATTATTATTTAATTAGCACCAGTCAATTTACAACTGAGTAAGAGCCGAGGTGGCGCAGTGGTTAGGGTGCAGTACTGCAGCTACTTCAGCTGACTGCTAGTTCAGCAGATCAGCGGATCAAATCTCACCGGCTCAAGGTTGACTCAGCCTTCCATCCTTCCGAGGTGGGTAAAATGAGGACCCAGATTGTTGGGGGCAATATGCTATTTAGTATACTGTCTTTAGTGTAAGCCGCCCAGAGTCCTTGGAGAGTGGGCGGCATAGAAATATGAATAATAAAATAAAATAAAATAAAATAAAATAAAATAAAATAAAATAAACTGGTGTTGTCACTTGCCTTCCTATTCATCCTCTCCAGAAATACAATACTCATGTAACTGGAATATTTGTATAATAATTTTAAAAAGCACTACAGATAGTCCTTGACTTACTTGCTTAGTGACTATTTGATGTTACAGTTGGCACTGAAAAAAGTGACATGTGACCATTTTTCACACTTATGACTATTGCAGCATTCCCCGCAGTCATGTGATCAAAATTCAGACGCTTGGCAACTGATCCACATTTATGACGGTGGCAGTGTCCCAGGGTCATGTCATCACTTTTGTGACCTTCTGACAAGCAAAATCAGTGGGGAAACCAGATTCACTTAACAAGTGTGTTACTAACTTAACAACTGTGGTGATTCAGTTAACATCTGAGATCATAAAATGGAGCAAAACTCATTTAACAACTCTCTTGTTTAGCAACATAAATGTTAGGCTCACTTGTGGTTTTTAGTTGAAGACTACCTGTATTATTTTTCTTGGCTACTTTGGCCAATAAAGTATTTCAAACTCTCTGGAGGCAGGAGAGTGATTTGACCTGGTCTCTATCTTAAACAGGGCATCTTATTTATTTATTAGATTTATATAGCCCCTTTTCTCCAAAAGCAGTTGGGCAGCAATCCCATCTCCAGTTATGCCTCTGCCTTGTCTTGGGTCCAGAATCACCCAATCAATGAATTTTCAATGCTGAGATTGGTCTTAAATTGGAGTCCCCCTCCCCTTTGAATCCTCTGCCACTGAGTCTCACTTGCTTGTAAAAACTTTAAATATCCCCATTGTCTCTTGTTTTCTTTTTAAATGGACTCTAATCAAGGAGAGAAGCAACCTGAAATTAAGGAGAAACTTCCTAACAGTCAGGACAATTAACCAGTGGAACGGCTTGCCTTCAGAAGTTGTAGGTGCTTCATCATTGAAGATTTTTAAGAAGACACTGGACAGTCACTTGTCTGAAATGGTATAGGCCTCCTGCTTGAGCAGGGGGTTGGACTAGAAGACCTCCAAGGTCCCTTCCAGCTCTATTCTGAATTTAATTCATCTGTTGGCATTCTTACTTGTGTCATGGCTTAAAGCCTCCAGAGTAGCCTGAGATTTGGTTTTTGGTGTTTTGCTTTTAGATCCCTGAAAGCACTTTTGAGAAAGTGCTTAATATTTTAAAAACTAAAACAGAATTTAGAGACTGTTCACTTCATATATTCTTGATGTGGAGCATTGGGTGGTTTTTTTTTCTTTTCTTTTCTCCACCTTTTCAGTTTCTTCCTTCCATTCTAACATTCTGCTTGCCAGGGAGTGGTTTTCCCTCGCTGAGCAACTTCATAGGCTGAAGGGATTTCGTGGGCTGGGTTTTTCCCTCAAACTGCCTCTGGAACCAGCACTGAGCTACTTGGTGCTGAAAAGACGTAGCAAAAAAAACGCCCGCAGACTGTTGCTTTCCTACCCACGGAAGAGTCCAACTGTGCTTTCTTTTCTTTTGCTGAACCACAGCATGACTATTTAACAAGCAGAAGAGGGCCAGGTGTTGCTTTTTAGAAGGACAATGGGGCACTTCCCTCTCCTGGGGCACAAGGTTAGTAAACTTCAAACTTCGGTCTTCCCCGTGTCAAACGTCCTGTCATTCCTCATGATTCCGTGGAGCGGCCAGAGGAATAAAACAGTCTAAAAAAAACCCCACAGAAACTGTTCTCTGGCTGCAGAGAGGGGGGAAATGACTTTATATTTAAGGAAATGGTGTGTATGCTTTTGCAGGAAAGGCAGGGTGATGGGAATTGGGTGCTAAAAATGTCCCCGCTGTGAGGTTTTTTTTTTTTTTTTGTTTTTTTTTATGCAAGCTTCTGAGTTCTGCTTCTTTCCCTTGGATTTTTGAGACTTGGTTTTTACTTTGCTTTTGGTGGAGTTTCAGGAAAAAGCAGAGGCGAAGTTTTTGAAACGGGGAATGGGGATTTGAAAAGCTAAACTTTTAGAAAAGAACGGGCTGTTTAAAGTTTCGGTTTGAAATTGTGTTTGCCGGCTATTTAGAGAGGTTAGACGCTTCTGCCTATTTTGCTCAGTAGAGGGTGGAGAAATTGCTATGGGTGCTTTAAAATCAGCATGCTTTCTAATCCCGTGGGGATCTTTACCAAGCAAAGCCAGTCGGTATCAGGCAATCCTAAAATTGGATAATATGCAGATATGCGCATATTTGACAGCTGTTCTTGAACATGTAATTAATAATCATCGGATGGGTCCATAAACTCTTAACCAGTGACACAAAAAGGTGTGGCACCTAAGGGCTGGCAAGGAAGCAATTTGTGAACAGGGAAGGACAGACTGATCATATTCTTTAAGGTTAATTCTTCATTTAGCTATGGAACTCAATAGTAACCTTGAACCCATCATTAGCTCCAACCTAAGAGACTTTATAGGGTTATTCATGTACAGAGAAAACTAAGTAAATGGGTGTAGGATTATGCAAACCATCCAAAGTTAAAGGGGGTAAATTTGTCAATGCAAATAAAACTACAGAGGTTGAAAATGTGCACTCAGTTTAAACCTGCAGAGGATGAAATAGCAGTGGGCAGTTTATGGATGATTCTGGTCTGGGGCTTTCGTATCCCATCAACTGCACCCATTGATCATTGAGGGCATTTTTTGCAAAATTCAGAACTGCAGAACAAGCCTAAATCGTGCCACCCAGTTCTCCAATTTCTTGATAAACATGTTTGCTTTTGCAGCAATTGAGAGTTCAAGAAATCAGGAAGCAGTGTGTGTCTTCCCTGCAAGGCTCCCTGAATGACCTTTGTGTTAATTAGTGTGCTTAGAAAGCAGACATGGAAGCAGATTTGATGTTATTTGTACTGTTCTCGGAATGAGGTCTTTGAAATCAATTTATATCTAAAATGCATGCATGTGTTCAGGCATTGCATAGATGCAAATGGAAGAAAGCTAATTCGGGAATTGCAAAAAAATATAAACCATCACTAGATGGCAGTAAAAATATTCAGGGGAAACCCCCCCCCCCCCAAACTCCTTTGCTGCCATCTAGTAGTAATTTGGATTTTTGCAGCACTGATGTCAGCTTGGTGAAAGCTACTTTTCATTATTCAGGGGCAGACTCCTGAGCAATGTATGAAAAGTTTCTGCTGCTAAGAATCATTGATAGAAAAAATTGCACCAAATATTTCAGTTAATAGGAGACCAAGCAGACCATACTAGAATTACCTTGTGCAATTGGCAACTCTTCAGATATATTTGGACCTTCATTCATGAATTCTTGGCAGATGCGTTTTTTGCATTCTCAGTGCAAAACTTTGGGGGACCGTCTTTTAGGGCATGTTTCTTTACCTCAGCAACTTTACGATTTACGAATTTCATCTCCCAAAATTCCCCAGCCAGCACCTGACTGGATTAGAAGCAGTAATATGGATACAAAAAAAGGGGAAAGTTTAAACCACTATAGGAAAGCTTTGAATTAGCATTTGCATAAAGGAAAATCAGCCCAAGAGTAATTGCTTGCGGGCTTCTTCCTGAATGTTTCCTTGTAAGCATCAAGCATTTGGGAATTGAGCCAGCATTAATTCACCCAGCAGGAAATCGCTTTAGAAAGTGAATTTTTTTAAAAAAATGAGTTGCATATTAACATGGACTGCAAAATAAAATCAATTTTCTTCTGCCTGCATTTCTTCAAGTCATACATGTAGAGCAGGGGTGTCAAACTGGTGGCCCGTGGGCCAGATGTGTCACACGCAGGGCCACGTCCAACCCAGCTCTGCGAAGGGGAAAAACATGGCGAAACATCACATCACATGATGACAACATGCCACGGCAAGTTTGACACCTGTGATGTAGAGTAGGGGTGTCAAACTCAGTTTCATTGAGAGCCACATCAGGGTTGTGTTTGACCTCGGGGGGGGGGGGTGGGGGGGCATGGCCAGGGTGGGCGTAGCTAGCTCGACGTCACTTGGGTCAGGGGCCTGTGGTGGCCTGAGCACTCTGCCAGCAAAACAGCTCCGTTTGCGGCTGGCTCCTGCAACCCTATGCCAGCGAAAACAGAGCTCGGGAAGGTGGCCCTCCCGAGCTCCATTTTTGCTGGCAGAGGCACCATGGGCCGGTCCTTTGCTGTTTTCAGGGCAGCCCCATGGGCCAAAACTAAGCATCCCACAGGCCAGATCTGGCCCCTGGGCTTTGAGTTTGATACCCCTGCTGTAGAGGGTTGTATATTTACTGAATAACTTGCATGCCATTCCTTTAAGAGTAATGTACTTCTTAAAATGGAAGTTCAAGAGCCAGCTTAATTGTGTCACTTATTTATTGCTGAGGTTTTGGAATTCCTTGGAGCAAACGAGGGCTGCCAGCCAGCTTTCCAACCAATGTATCTTAATTTCTGTGCCATTCTTGAGCAGAATCTATCCAGGATCAGTTTGGACCTTTCGGTTGTTCAGGTGTGGGCTTTACGTTGAGCATCCACTGCTCAAGTGGATCCCATTATTGTTCTTTGAGTGCAAAATTCTCTGATTGCCTGTTGGAAGGCAGCATTAGTGGTGATGGTAGATCGCCCAGTCAGATTTTCCCCAGATGTGCTGGGAATTGTAACAGTCAGCAAGATAATTTTGGCCAAGTCCCAAAACATCTGGAAGGCATCCTATTGGAGAAGCCTAGTACAACAAAAGAACTAAACTAGGAATAATTTTATCTGCTTCTTTGCCCTAAAAAAATAGTTCTCTTTTTACTGAAAGTAAGCTCAAGCAGGTTGCAATAAAATAGAACAAACTTCTGAAGTTTACGGCCAAACTTGCCATCGTATCCTATCAACAGCAGAAGCTCAACTCAAAGAGTAGATGAATAGGTAGGATCTTTGATGATTCAAAGGATTCAGCACCAGTTGGGCCTGGATAGGGAAGAAATTCCATTATTGAAGAACTACCAGTATTGAGAGCATCTTTTGCCAATTCAATCTTAATTGGCAGGCAGGTACATAAGGCAAAAGAAGATTCATTCACACTGTTAGCACATTTTTTTTAAATCTTCAGCTATGCCCATCCTGAACATTATAGCAGATCAGGGATGAAGTAGAACCGGCCTGGTATAGTGGTTAAGGCTCCAGGCTAGAAACGAAGACAATGCGTTTTACCCTTGCCTTAGGCACAAAACCAACTGTGACCTTACGCCAGTCAACTCTGTCTCAGCTCTGAAGAAGTAATGTCAAACTACAGTAATTATGGAATTTTGTCAAAAAAAATAATAATTGCAGGGACTAATCCAGGCAATTACCAGTAGTCAAAAACTGATGGAAAAGTGCACACAAATACACACAGCGAGAGAGAGGGGGAGGGGGAGAGAAAGAGGGAGGGAGGGAGAGAAAGGAGAATAGTACAAAAAAGTGGCTGTAGCTATTGGTATCATAAGCCAATCTCTATTTCAAGTTCTTTGTCAAAGATAAGTTGCTTGGAGAGCAAGTAATCCAATTGTCAGTCCTTGAAGTTCGGCCTAGTCAGGAAACAGACATCACGAGAATTATTGGAATTTTACTGTTGTTTAACAGAATCCCGAAAGCGTGATAGAGATTCACCCTCCCCCTTATATTCTCTAAAGAGAATCAAGATGGGGTTATCTTGAGTTTCTTTTTCATCCCTCTCTTTCTCTCAAAGCTAAACTGATGTTTTTTTAACCCATCTTGCATTCCTTCTTCAAGTACATCTTCACGCTTCTCTACACCAACCTAGGCAAATAAATGGGGACATTTGTAATTGTTACTGTGATGTCCTTGCTGCAACTCAAGTATGATTAGGTGAATGGTTTTTGTGGCAGTGAAGGGGTATATCTTTTTTCATCTTTTAAACTTGACAATGCTTAGCTGATCTTGAACAGGGGGAAAAACAAGCACATTTGTGCTGCGTAAATGCAGAAAATTATAACTTATTTGGGTTTTTTTTTTTGAGGGAGGGCAGTTTGAGGAAATTATTGTTTGTTTTGAAGCATTTTTTCTGAGAGATTTGCACAAAATTTGCACAAAAATGAGCCCTTCCTTCTCATTAGGTGGCCAAAGTATTTGAAGTATTAGAAGTAATACTTATACAAAGTATTGGAAGAACTAGCTTCAGCCAAAGCAGAAATCAAAATGTGACTTTTATCTGTTAGGAGAAGCTGGATTACAGATTATCCTGCACATGTATGAGAGGGTTTTTGGGGTTCTTATGGTCCAGTGCAGAGGTGGGTATCAGCAGGTTCTGACCAGTTCTGGAGAACTGGTAGCGGAAATTTTGAGTAGTTCGGAGAACTGGTAGTAAAAATTCTGACTGGCCACACCCCCATCTATTCTCTGCCTCCCAAGTTCTAGCTGATTGGGAGGAAATGGGGATTTTACAGTATCCTTCCCCTGCCATGCCCACGGAGCCACGCCCACGGAGCCATGCCACGCCCACCAAGCCATGTCCACAGAACCGGTAGTAAAAAAATTTGAAACCCACCACTAGTCCAGTGATTATATTTAGGAGTAGTGGTGGTAAAGCGGTTTCTAGAAAAACACTGTTTTTAGAGTCCTTCACCCTTGTAAAATGAATCTTGAAGAACATGACATCCAAGGAAAAAATT